TAAATTTGTAGAGGGTGCTTCTTTAGCCTTTCTCTTAGATAAATTTGTAGAGGGTGCTTTTTCCTCTTGAGCAGGAATTGATCCTGGTAAAGAATCTGTTTTCTCTTCAACTTCAAGTTTGGATTCTGGTAAAGGATCTGTTTTCTCTTCAACTTCAAGTTTGGATTCTGGTAAAGGATCTGTTTTCTCTTCAACTTCAAGTTTGGATTCTGGTAAAGGATCTGTTTTCTCTTCAACTTCAAGTTTGGATTCTGGTAAAGGATCTGTTTTCTCTTCAACTTCAAGTTTGGATTCTGGTAAAGGATCTGTTTTCTCTTCAACTTCAAGTTTGGATTCTGGTAAAGGATCTGTTTTCTCTTTAACTTCAAGTTTGGATTCTGGTAAAGGATCTGTTTTCTCTTTAACTTCAAGTTTGGATTCTGTAATTTCTAAAATTTTAAGTTTTTCCTTCAATTTTATTGTGTTATCTTCACAGTGGATACATGTTGATTTTTGTCTGCGATTTGTCAACTCTTTTATCAGTTGACTATGGGGTTTCTTGTCTTGGTATAATTCTATTAATTTCGTTTTTACATCATCCCAATTATCCAAAATCGTACAAAGAAATTCGATTCTTGGCATTACCAGTGATTCTGGAGTAGATGAATCTGAAGAGTGGATACTTATTCTCTTCAGAGGACAATTCGATAGCATTATCACAATCAGAGATAAATGCATTAAGTTGGTTCCTTTCTCCGGAAAAGAAATTAGGAACTAGACTACACAAGAAACTAAGGGATATTTGGGATGGGTTGAAAACAGGTTGATCAAGTTTAGGCATTGTTCACAAAATGAGTTACCTATTTCTACTTACTTACAATATAAAGAAATTCTGATAAAGAGTTAAAACCCACCAACATGAAACGAATTACTTAAGAATTCTCCGGTTTCTTGTCGTTCAGAATGATCCTTCATCGACTGCGCCAAAATTTTAATATGTTATATTCGGTTCGTTCTTTATTTTTGTAAGTAATGAACAAGCACTTAAAACTATCACAAAACTAATATTAATAAACAAGAACTTATTACAGCTAGACAATCAAAATCAAATGAACCGACGCCAAGCGGTGTAGCTTGCCTATATTACTTTGGTCTTTCGTCAGTCAACTGTTTCGAACGAGCAACAATGGGAACTAGCAAACACTTGCAAATAAAATAAAAGAAGGAGTCTTTAGAAGCTTCGCTTCTAAAGAAGAACAATTCGAGTTCGTCGCCAGTCTTTTGTTTATAAAAATTTGAAAATGTGAATATTGAGTACGGGATCATAACAATATATACAAATTTTTATAAAATTTATTTACTTATTTTTTTCCTCTATTATCATCATTTACATACATATATATATATATATATATATATATATATATATATATATATAAAATTATAGTAAAAATTTTAAATTTTTAACCCATTTTTAATTATTATTATTATTATTATTATTATTATTATTATTATTATTATTTATTATTATTATTATTATTATTATTATTTTACCGTTTCATTACCAGCATTGATATAATTAAAACTAAAAAAAAAAATTTTTAACCATGAAATCGATTAAATTAATCAAATTCGTGCATGTCTGCTTTCCTGTGTGTTTGTTTCTGTGTTTGTATGTTTGTTTGTTTGTTTGTGTGTGTGTGTTTACTACCCAGGTGAACGATAAAAAATACAAATTTCCGTTAAATAAATATCAATATGGCGAATTCGACGAATTAATAATTTTTTTTGATTCCATTTCAAAAAACTCAAAATTTACTAATTCAATTTTATTTTTATTTTAATAATAATATAATTATTGCTTAAATAATTAATTAATTAAATAATTAAATAATAATAATAATAATAATAATAATTAATCACAGCTTTTTATTTTCGTCATGATTCTTATTTAATTAAACAAACGATAACCCACAAAATATATTTATATATATATAATTAATTTATGTAAATTTAATTTATTGATTTAAATTTAAAATTTAATAAATTCCCGAACGTAATAATAATAATAATAATAATAATAATAATAATTACTTATAAATTTTTACATAAAAATATTATATATATATATATATATATTTAATTTTCGAGAGATATTTCTAGAAAGATTTCTTTCTTTTTCTTATTACTTAAATAAATTAAAACTGCTGTGGGAGGGGGGGTGGGGGGAAATTAGAAAAAAATTTTTAATTTTTTTTTAAAGCTGTGCAGATTATAATTTTTTTTTTTTTTTTTTTTTTAAATGTTCTGCAAATAAAAAAAGAGAACATGCGATTAAAAAAAAAAATTGTTATCAATCATAATATTATCATTTTGCTTTGGTAACTGATTTTTAAAAAAAATACATAAGAATTTTACTTAAAACAGCACTTTTGGGGTGTGATCGTATATATGCGTATAATAAAAAAAAAAGCCAAACGAAAGGTCTTACACACACGTGTATATACACGTTTGTTCCTTTTTTCTTTTTTCTTTACAATTAAGAGGAACAACCACAGCAAAAAAAAAAAAAAAAAAAAAAACACACGGTTTTCTTCTATTTTTCTTCCAAATGTTTCAATTGTTTGGCTCTGTCGTCACTGGCAATGACTAACAATAATAATAATAATAATAATAATAATAATAATAATAATAATAATAATAATGGCAAAAAAAAAAAAAAAGAAATCCACGACGTGCCTCCTTTTTTGCCTTTCGAATCCGGGATTTCCAACCCGAAATTTAAGCCCACTTTTTTTTTTTTTTTTTTTCTTTTCCCTAATTTGTTTCCCTAATTTCTTCGGCATTGATTTTTACTGTCTCGCGCGCGCGCAAAAAAAAAAAAAAAAAAAAAAAAAAAACAAAATCCAAAACCCAAAAAAAAAAAAAAAGAAAAAAAAAAAAAAAAAAAATTTCCCCGCCCCCCGTTTCCCCTTCCCTGGAAAAACCTGGAAGGGGTATTTGAGGGGGGCAAAAGGGGGCTGGGGTCTTTTGCCGGAATTTAATTATTTCAGGGAAAAAAAAAAAAAAAAAAAAAAAAAATATTTTTCTGGTAAATGATCACCCTTTATTTTCAATCAACTCACTCTAGTCTTCTATAATGATAAAGCCATTCTTCTAACATTTGAGCTACTAATAAAGGTCTTTTATGAAGCTTTTGCTGCGCACGGTTATTCCTCCCTCGGTGACGCACACATCCAACCATTGTCTTAATATATATTCTTCTCTACCGATCTTATCAAATGAAAAAAAAAAAAAAAAAAAAAAAAAAAAAAAAAAGGTTCCATATTATTGAAACAAACGTGACGACATTTCAGTCGTAAAAATTCGTAACGTACTTCATTTTGAGTTAAAAAATGAACGGGGAGCATTTTTCTGTCTCGGTCCATGAGAGGTAGGAACGTGACTTGCAAGTGATCGCTATTGTCATTAATATTGTTAGCAGCGGAAAGACTAGCAGTGCCGTTTAATCTACTATATGGTTCCAAGGGTACCAAAGCTGAAAAATGGCCTCTCGTGTAACCTAAAGCAAGCGGAGACCGAATGCAGAAAGATGGTTCCCATAGCAAAGGCAAGTAAACACCTACGAAAATTATTCGTCATTACCGATAATAATAATAATAATAATAATGCTTTTTCAAAGAAAACAAAACAATAGACAAGAATATATATTTTAATTACCTTCGAATCTAGCTAAACCTAAAGTTTCTCCTCGAAAACTTTTGACGTATTTGACGCCGTACACGATGATGGGTCTTCTAAGAATGTGTGATAAAGCAAATACGTGCAATTGATCGAGACTGGCACCGGGCTGGCTGGCTAAACTAAGAAGACCAGCCCAATCTTCTTCGTATTGAGTTTCATCCATTGTGAAATGAAGGAGAGAAGCCTGAGACGATTCGTATTCTTTCCATCTTGGATAAAATCTTGTAAAAACAAAAAAAAGAATTGCAATTTATATAATGCGTTTAAAATATAATTTCAATTTAAACTTTGTTTAATAAGTAACAAATACACACAGATGACCTCCTTGATGAAGACTATCGGCTAAAGCTCTTCTTAAAACATTTTCACGATCGAAAACTCCCCAAGTAGCTTGCATCGCGGAATCTAGTAAACAGTCTCCAGCGCTGCGATTCCATAAGGCATATAACCTAGATCCTGAAATTCAAGGAAAAGAATAAAAAATTGTTTTTTCCCCCCCCCCTTTTTTTTTTTTTTAGTTTTTTAAACCGGTTACCATATTTTTATATTACCTAATCTCACCGTAATTTCTAAAGACCAGTTTAACACAGGAGGATCACTTTCTAGTTGACTTTGTACTTCTTTGTCTAATAATTCTTCGAATAATTGATCTTGAATTGGTGTAGATAAATCTTCGACTTCTAAAAAAAAAAAATTTTTTTTTTTATATATGAATAGTAAATAAAAATTAATTAATTAATTAATTAATAATTTAAAAAAAAAAAATGACTAAAATTCTTTCACACCTGCTGGCAGTGCAAATGTAGCAGATTCGGTTACAAAATAGCAAGGAAAACTTCCCTTTCTTTGCCTGAGGGTAGAACTAATGTGTCTTCTGATATCAGCAGCCAAATCGGGGGCCACGTAAGAGGGTACTCTTTTAACCCCCGAACCACTTCCTTCTATTTGTGATAGCAAAGTAGCTAGCATATCTTCTCGATGAAATCTAAAGGCAAATTTTTATCGGTTGATTTTTTTCATCAAATAACCTACAATTATTAAATGAACGTGAAAAAAAAAAAAACAAACCTTATAGCTAAATGAACTAAAGTATGTCCAGCATCAAAAGCACTCGGTCTATTAAGAATGGCTATCTCATTTGGTGTAAGAAACCTAGCTGGATTCCCTCCGGAATTAAGGTACGCTTCCACAGGATTTGGATCTCCTTCCACAACACCTATACATGCATCTAACCAACTCCAATCGGCTTGCCTTGAAAGTCTAAGCCTTCGCTCATATTCGCAGTTATTCGGTGATTGTTGTTGAGGATTTGAATTAATCTCTGATGATTCAAACCTCTTAGAATTTGATCTGCAAAAGAACAGGGGTCAAAGTTCGCAAACATTTAGCTTCGACGATGTGTAAAACAACAATTCGTTATTACCTTCTTATAGAAGTCATATTGTAATTTTCTTCATTGACTAAAGGAGTGCAACCTCCTCGGGCAGAATCACAATCTGGACTGTCTGTAGGCGAACTCTTGGCAGCCTGTATCGGATGTGGATTGTTACCGAGCCCACACATTATACATTTTCCAGATTTCGGCCAATTTTCGTAAGTACAATGAGGGCATGACCACTTTTGGGTGGAAGACATTTGACCTTAAAAAATTACATTTTAAACAAAAAAAAAATTGCAGTGCATACACAGTATGAAGGTTATTTTACACTAAGAATAATAATAATAATAATAATAATAATAATGTAAAAATCAAATTTTTAAAGTTTACCTCGATTTAAATGATTGGCTTGAGTGTTGAGACCTACGGATGAATTAATTTTGGTTGCATGTATGGTAGTTTCGACATCTTCATTAATAGAGTTATATTTACTTTGACTTTGATTTTTTTTGTTGTTTCTACTGCTTGGACTCTTATCTAATCTGTCAGACAGTATATTGGAATCAACTAAATCTGTTTCTCTTTGAATAATTACATTTTGAGGGCTGTTGTTTCTCTCTAGATTCGGTGGACTTCTCTCCGGACTTTTATTATTTGAATTAACTTTGTACAATTTATTTCTATCCTTGCCTTCCAACATGTTTTGCGAATTTGACTTTGTTATAGATATTTTATCTGAATTTGATAAAAAACTTAAGTTTTGAGAATTAGACTTTGATAATTTTCTAACATTACTTTCATTTTCAACTCTAGAATAATTTGAATTTTTATATATAACTTTGGTTTTTTCAATATCAGAATTTGGGCTGGTGGTGTTTTTGCTTATTTTCGCACTTCTCGGAGTGTCACATTGTAAGCAATTTAATAAATTTTCCGAATTTAAAAATGTACAAACGGAGCATGGCCAAGTTGAATTAGTAAGTACTTCCGGTGTGACAGCTCTGGCTCCATGCATGTTAACATCTCTTCTGCTATCTGATCCCCTAGTTTTTTTCCCATTTTCTAAATAACCTTCAGTATCTATTTTCAAGATATTTTTCTCCTGCCTCTTTTCCCTTAATTTGTATATGTCTTCTCCGAAAAGGGGTTTTTTCGAACGACACATTGTACATTTTAAACTTGAAGGCCAGTTTTCATAAGTACAAATTTCACAAGCCCATTTTTCTTCAGATCCTTTACTCATAATTCTGTTTAGAAAAAAATTTTTTTTGAAGTTGTGTGATATTCTTCTTTTTTAAATTAAGCGGAATATATTTATATATGTATATATATATATATATATATATATATATTTTGTTGTACTGTTTGCTGATTAAACAGACACCTGGATTAAATTGAAAAAAACATTTACTCTGCTTTCCATTTGGCAAATATTGAACAATTTTTCTAATCCATTCCAGATTGAATTATAATTTTTTGTTTAAAACCCATTTAATTATTGCTCTATGTTGCCTAGGAGAATTGCATCTAAAAATATAAAAATGAAATTTAATTAAATTTTTTTTTAAATTTTTATTTTTTTTTTATTTCGGCCAAGTTTTACATTTTTTCCCGTAAAACATCATAAAAAAAATATGACTACATACTGATTTTACCTCTGACCACTGGCTAAATAAAAATTGTAATTTTCAAATTGTAAGTAACATATAAAAAAAAAAAATTTCAAATTTTTGCAATCACATTAAAATTTATAAAATCGAAAAAAAAAGAAAAATATCTCTTTCGATTTGAACATTAATATCATCTCGTAATTTTAACTTGAATATTTTGAAAAAATTTATCGGAAAAATTTTGTGTCAAGCATAAAAATATAATATTCACTATATAGATATTTTACAATTCTTTCAATTAAATATTAAAACCCCAAGTTTTCAAATTAATTGAATCAAACTGTAATTAATTTTAGATAAAAATATTGGATTTTTTTTTTATAGTTAAAAAATAAAATTTTTTACAACCCATAAATTTAAATAAATGGCCCATAACTGTGTTATTTATCTAATAACCAATACATGATTTTAATATAAATTGTAAATAATTTAAAAATGACTACATTATTTGAAAAAAAAAAAAAAAAAAAGTCAAATAATAACATGACCTACTTTGAATAGTCTTCAATAAATAATTTAAAAAAAGGTTAAGAAAAAAGGAAATTCATGCAGGCTTACTTGCCTAATTAATTAAAAATCCCTTTTTGACTATAGGGAATTCCCAATAACCGAATTTAAAGATGCGTTTTTCTTCGATGCATACACACTAATTTGCACGAAATTGGTTCCAAAATATCTTGGCAAGCAATGTAACATTACTGTATAGTAAAACTATTGTCATTGGTTTGCTTACCTATTCAACATATATAATTTACTTTTAGAGAATTTGGATTATACGCATTCATTTACAATATTTTATTATAAAACATTAATAAAAACAAAAGATGTCAGGTACTCTAAATGTATAATTGTTTTTTTATTTTTTTTCCCTTTGTTTTTTTCCTTCATTTGACGAAAAACATAATAATAATTTGCAGAATTGCGAATATTTTCACCTTGTCGACATACTAAAGAACAACGAGACGAGCGAATTCTCGCGGAAAAAAACATAAGCAAAAAAAAATGGCGGTACAATATTTTTAAAAAAAAAAAAATTTTGAAATCATTAAGTTGTACATTTTTAAACTATCGATTAAAATTATAATTACATCTCAAAAAACATTTTATTAAATAAACAATTTATCTTTACAGTCGGAATAATCGGACAGGATTTCGAAGAAAAAAAATTATTTATTTATGTTATTAAATGGAGTATATGATTTAAAAGGGTAGAAAACTTTTAATGGAATCATTTTTTTTTTATTCATTTTCAAAATAAAATAATTATAATAAAAATTTTTTTTTTTTGTAAAATTTGTATCCAGTTTAAACTTTATATTATTCAAGTTTTAACAAATTTAAAAAAAAATAAACATCTGCTTAAAATTTAACTGATTGAATTTATTTATAGACTTGAATTTTATGTATGTTTAAGAGAGAAAGAAAGAAAAACATCAAGAAAAGTTTTTTTTTTTTTTTTTTTTGTTGAATTTTTATTCAATAATTTAAATTTAATTTAATTTTTTCCTTTCAAATTTAGCATTGAAAGAGTTTAACCGAATGAATTTATTTAAAAAACAAATTAAAATTTGTTACAGTTTAAAATAAAAAAAAAAATTTGTTTAAATGATTTTCTTATTATTATTATTATTTTCTGGTTTCAATATGGGATTGTGACTAGAAAAAATTTCCAATGAAAACATTTCAATCACCAAAAAAAAAATAATCTAAAAATACATTTATTTAACTAACTAAAAAAAAAATAAAATAAAATATATATATAAATCTTTTTCACATTTAAACCCGCCGCCATGTTGTTGGAAAAAAAATTTTAACCGTTATTTTATTTTGACATTTATTTTTGTGTTAAATTTCCAGTGTAAAGAGAATAAGTGATTGTTTAAATTTTTTTTTTTAAATTTTAATATCATAAAAAGTTATTATTAACAACAACAACAACAACAAAAAACGGTTTTTTTTTTTTAAATTAAAACACACACAACAACAAAAAAATCAAATTTATTTTCAAAAGTTTTTTTTAAATGTTTTCTATCGTTTTTATATTATTATTTATTTGTGGATAACAACAACAACAACAACAACCAAAATTTAATATAAAAATAATAATAATTTTAACGGTTTTTTTAAGAAAAAAAAAAAAAAATTTTTTTGTTAAATGTCTAGAAAAGAATCAAATTGGAATGGTTTATCCGTTAATGCCATGTTTCAATATTCACACGATTCTTCATTTATATCAAAATCATCGAGCAGAAGAAAAAAAAATAATACGGTAAGTAATTATCATTATTATTAATTAATAAATTAATAAATTTCTATAACGACAAATAAAAATGGATGGAAGAATTTTAATAAAATGGTAATTACGACTTTTGTTCTCCTTTAAGGTAAAGTAAAAATTTTTTTACCGATTTTTTTTTGGGGGGAGGGAAGGGGAGGAGGGGGGAGGGATGTAAAAATTGAAAACCATTTTGAAATTGTCAATTATGACATTTGAAAAAAAAAAAAAAATTAGGTGAGTGTTCTTTTGGAAATAATTCAAAGATTGCCAATCAATGTCTTACGTCCATTTTTTTTTTTTTTTTTTAATGATTGACGATTTAAAAATATTTTAATAAAAAAAAAATTTTTTTTTTTTTTTTTTTTTTGCGTTTTCAATAAATAAATAAATAAATAATAAGATTTTAATTTTTTTTTGTATCAATTTGAGCGCCCTCAGGTTAAAATTTTTATAAATAAAAAAAAAAATAAAATTAAACTTCTTTAACATTTTGGCTTTTTTACAAAATTTAATATTTAAATTTTTTTTTGGGTGAAAGAGTGTGTGCGTCTGGTATGTATGTAACAAAAAAGTGAAATTTTAATTACATATTATTATTATTATTATTTATTTACATCCATAAATAAATTTTTGTGGAGTTTAAAGTGAATTTAAATCCCGAAAAAATAAAAAAAAGTAATTATGCATTGTTTTTAAAAGGCTCGAAATGTTAACATAATCATTTAAGTAATAATAATAATAATTATAAAAAAAAAAGTACATAAATTTATTAATAACTTTTATATATATTTAATTCTTAGCTCTCTTTCTGTCTCTTCAGAAAATTTTCTTTTCTTTTTTTTTTCTTTAAATTTTTTTTTTAATTTTTGTAAAAATAAATTTAAAAAAAATTTTTTTTTCTGGGTTTGATGTTATTTTTAAACTTAAAATAAAATTTTTTTTTCTATTAATCTAAAATTATAACACTTGAAAAATTTTAATTTTTTAAAAAATAATTATTATTATTATTATATAAATAAATTTAAAAAGAGCCATGGAATAAATTTAATTTTAGAAAAGAAAAAAAAAAAAAAATGGCTGATTAAATAATAATTACATAATAGTTTGATAATATTTAAAAAAAAAAAAAAATGGACATTGGTAGTGACGTTTGGAATCAGGTAGCCTTAGAGGCTAATCAACTTTATTTAGAAGATGGTCAAGCTAAAAGTAAATTTGCTGATACTGTAAGTACCCCAAGAAAAAACCTGAAAAAAAAAAAAAAAGGTTATCTATTAGGTATGATTTTTGTTTTGTTTTGACAGACGATAGAAAAACTTCCGGATAAAATTTTATTAAACATATTTTCATATTTATCTCATCGTGAAATATGTCAAATGGCAAGAGTTTGTAAAAAATGGAGAGTCATTGCATATGATACAAAACTTTGGAAATATGTTTCATTAAGGCCTGAAATATCAGGATTACACGTCAGCACTTTGGAATCATTGCTGGCGTTAATTAGGTAAATGTTATTTAATTAAAATCAAAGTTTTTAATAATGATAATTTCTTTTTCTCCTGACACGTTGGTTTGTTTGTAGCATAAGATTTGGTCCTTCTCTTAAATACATAGAACTTCCCATTGAGCTCATAACGCATACTGTCTTGCACGAGTTGGCAAGTAAATGTCCAAATTTGACACACATGCTGTTGGATTTTTCCACAGCCATGCAACTTCATGATTTTTCCGAAATGCAAGCATTTCCGACAAAATTAAAATACATGTGCATTTGCTTGAGTGAAGTTATTTTCATGGAAGGATTCATGAGAAAAATATATAATTTTATCAACGGTCTTGAAATATTACATCTCATAGGTGTGCAAAGAAAATTCATTCAAAATATTATCATTATCATTATGATTTATTATATTAATAATTGTTTGAAATAATTTAATTAAGGAACTTATGAAAAGGTCGAAGAAGAAGAAGAAGAGATTTATGAAGTGATTAACGTTCATAAACTTAAATCGGCAACACCAAATTTGAGAGTTATTAATTTATACGGAATTAATTTTATTGATGATTCTCACGTGGATGCTTTTAGTTCCAATTGCATTCAACTCGAATGTTTGGCCGTTAATTTTTGTGCAAAAGTTACCGGAGCGAGTTTAAAATCTGTTTTTCAACGTAGCAAAAGATTAACTTGTTTATTAATGAATCAAACGAGTAAGTTACATTTTTTTTTATAAAACAAATGATTAACTTACGAAAATATTACACAAAATTTTTTGTCATAGATTTGCAAAGCGAACATTTGATGAAAGTGGATTGGGAATCCACCGCCTTGCAAGAATTGGACATATCAGCCACGGATTTATCATCCGAATGTTTAATCGATTTACTCACACGAATACCCAATTTAAGATTTTTAGCCGCTGGTCAAATAAACGGATTTAACGACAGTGTATGTGAATCCCTTTTTTTTTAACATTTCATAAATGGTTTTCGAATTTAATTTAATATTAATTTTAGGTCATTAAAGCTTATTTGGAACATGGAACTGCAAAAAATTTAATTGCACTCGATTTGGATAGTTTAGATAATATATCGGATGAGGCTTTATATAAATTTTTGTCACGACATGGTCATCAACTTCACGGTTTAGCTCTTAGTGGTATGCCACATATCACGGATTCATTGTGGCAAAGCGTTCTTCCTATTTTTCAAAATGCAAGGTAAATATATTTGACAAAAAAAAAAAAAAAAAAAAAAATTCGATAAAAAAGAATCCTGCAAAAGAAAATTAGTCAGTTTACAATTGTTTTTTTTTGTTTGTTCAATCGTTCTCATTTAAGGTTATTTTTATTTTTAAAAAAATGCGTATAAAAAAAATTTTATTTTACGCAGTCGCCCAGAAAAATTTGAATCAAAAGTTACATTATTTATTAGCTCGCGGTTAAAAAATAATACAAAATCAAGGAGGCATTGTTATATTTAATACGACGGCTTTGTTATTCATTTCAATTGTAAAAATGAGGGAATTAAAAGAATAAAAACGTTATTGGAATTATCTAAAAATCATTTTACAAAATTGACATTTGAAGCATCTGTCACGACAGGATTGGAACAAACGGCTTTGGATGAATTATTTGAAAAATTTGGTAAAAATATAAAAGCGTGTTTTAGTCGTGGACGTGTTTTTTTCAATACTAAATTTGACAAGTATCAGAGTTATAAATTACTTAGAAGTGTTGATCGTGTTAACGTATTAGCCGGTTTTACAACGGTTTCACTGAATAATGATTTACAATTAAAATCTAAAGATTTAGACGAGATTAAAAACACGGTTAAAGTTTTCGATTGGGAAAAAGTTATTGCGATATGGCAAGAAATCGAGGGTTTCGATGGTAATTTGTATCCTACGAGAAAACAATACGAACGTGCAAGTTCTAATAACTTTTCTATCACCGAAGATCAAGCATCTGAAAAATCTGATGATTCTGAAAACGATGAGGTTGAATTTAAATGTGAAAAAGTTTTTTTTGAAAAAACACAATTAGAAAAAGCTTTGGATTCAGTTCTTACTCTTTCAGATGATGAAAATAATATAACAGTTAATAATAATGATAATAAAATACCAAGATTTAGGGTGACTTGTAATAGAGTCGGTGAAAAGCATACATTTTCTAGTCAAGAAGCTGCGACTGCTTTCGGTGGTCTTTTACAAGATAAATTTAATTGGATTGTAGATTTAAGTCATTACGATATTGAGATTATTTTAGAAGTTAATAATGAGGATGTTTATGCTGGTGTAGCATTAAATAAAAAATCAAATCATTTTCGTAACATAACTTTTTTCGGCTTGACAACTTTAAGAGCTACAATTTGTTACAATTTATTAAGACTTTGTAATGTAAAACCTGGTGACATAGTTGTCGATCCAATGTGCGGTTGTGGTGCTATACCTATCGAAGGAACTTTATCTTTTCCTAATGCATACTTTTTAGGAGGAGATATACATGACAAAGCAGCAGTAAAGACAAGATGTAATATAAATGCATTAGAAAAAAATTTAAAAATTGATAATTTAAAGTGGGATTCTACTCGTTTACCTTTAAGAACGAATTCGATTGATGTTTTTGTAAGCGATTTTCCATTTGGTAAAAGATGTGGTACCAAAGCAAATAATAAAGCATTATTTAAAAATGCATTAAATGATTTGGCAAGAGTTTTAAAAAAAAAAAGTGGTAGATGTGTTATATTAACAGCTGATAAAACAAGTTTCAATGTCGCTTATCAACTTACTAAAACATTTTGGAAGCTTAGGAAAAATTTTATCATTAATATCGGCGGGATAAGGTCCAGTTGTTTTGTATTAGAAAGAACAGAAGAAGAATTTCAACTGAAGTTATCGAGGAAAGAAAAAAGAGCATTAGCTTTTCAACAATGGCTAAAGGAAAAAGGATTTAACAAAAGAAACGATTAACATCTTTTAAAAAAAAATTTGTTTTTTCGATAGTGAGTCTCGCATGCAAACAAAATAATATTTTCAAGTTTTTAGGTTCATCATCAGGATAAAAAATGAATGAAATTTTTTTTTTTAAAAATAAGTCAAATTTTTATTTTATCCATTTTTCATATTTTAGGATTTTGATTATGGGTACTTCTGAAAGATTGGGTGTTAATATTCATGTCGATCAATTAATGGATGGAATAGCAAACAGTTGCTTACATTTAGAAAGGTTGGAATTGAGATGGGATCCTGAAAATTTAAGATTTTCAGACAAAAGTCAAAAAGCTATCGATATTATTAGAGTTAAATGTCTTAAATTAAGCAGTTTAGTGCTGAGGTAAGACATTATTTTTTTATTCGATTTTATTTTTTGGATTAAATTCAATTTGACTAAATGTAATTACAACCTTCTGAATGTTTATTTTCAGTGATGGACGATATTATGAAGTTGTTAAAGCAAATTTCGAAAGAGCCGATAGAAATACTGTTGTTCGTACAACAACATCATGCAGAAATTCTTTATACTACCTATTGAAAAATTACAAAGATTTGATTTTTAATTAATTAGTATTATTATTTAATTATTTATTATGTAGTGGAAATGACAAAATTATATAATATTTTATTCAATTTCAATATATATTTAATTTTATTCCCTTATGTAATATAAAGACAATAAATTTTTTATAAATAATGGAAAATTAAATGGGATTATTTTTATAAAGTAAAACAATATTTAAATGGTAAATGAACTTTAGTAATTTTAATTACGTTGAAGGGATAACACATTGAGTCAATTTGAAAACCGAAAAAGAAGAATTTTTAGTTTTTTTATATAAACAAAAAATTTAAAATAAATAATAACAAATTTTCGTAAATATTTAAAAGTATCGAATTTTTATTACCCAGCAGAAAAATATCGTTCACTTAAATTTATCGTGGTTTTAGATTTGACTAGCAGAAAGAAAATTTTGGTTTCCATTAAAAACGTTTTCTGCTTAAGTGTTAAATAATTTTGTAATATATTTTTTTTTAAATGGCTCTACTTTTTTCTAGGGTTCTTAGACGTTGCGCTAAGAACAATTTATATACAGCAACTAGGTTTTCATCAAAAGGTAAAGACAAAAAAATTAAATATTGATGACTTATACATCGAATTTTTGTCGTCGAATTCATTTCTACCTTGCATATTTAGGAAATACTAGATACATGCATATTTCTAAAATTTATTCCCTTTAGTTTAGTAAAATAATTATAAAAAACACAACTCATAATTATTTTTAATTTAAAAAAAAAAATTTTTTTGAATCAGATGTTCCACCTCCAGATGAGTTGGTTACTGGTTTGGAAGAATTTCAAAGGAAAGAATTCTATGCTGGAAATGATGTGAGTGATTATTATCTAATCTAAAATCAAAAATTAAACTTTAAATGTATTAACAAAATTTATATTAATTTTTACAGGATCCATTTTTATTAAAAGCTGTTAAAAGGCATGCTAGTACTAAAAACAATCCAAATCTTGTACCATCATATTATGATTGTAGAGTAATCGGATGCGTTTGCGAAGAAGATTCTTATGCCATTACATGGATGTGGTTATTCAAAGGTGAACCTAAGAGATGTCAATGTGGACATTGGTTTAAATTGGAACATTATGAAAAATAAATGTAAAATAAATAATTAATAAAAGTAGTAAAATTTTTGCCATTGGTTTCATTTAGAATAATAAATTATGCATTAGAAAAAAATTTTTATTTAAAAATATTCATTTATATTTTGTTTTTACGCAAAAGATATACTAACTTTTTCCAACTACAATTTATATTTTTAACAGTATTTTAATGCAGCTTTTACAAGAAACGATATAAGTAAAATTTATTATTTTATATATATATATATATATATATTTTCAGTGTCAATGGCATTATTCTACATCTAGTTAACAAAATATTGTATTATTTAAAACTTTTAATATAATACTTTTTTCTTTATCAATTTTTTTTTATATCGATTTGCTTCTCCTTAGTTTGTACGTAACAAAACTTTAATGTTATTATTAACATACAACTTATTGTTTAGTACTATTTGACTACAAACACAAAATATGTTTATTTTAATAATAATTCTGTCCTTATTTAAGATAAAATAAGAAAATGTGGTTTATTACTGTAGTAAGTGTTCTCCTAACTAATCGCAATGAAAAAATAAAAAATGATTTGCATTTTACATTTGACTAAAAAAAAATCATGATTATTATTTATCAAAATTATTAAAAATTAATTAAAATTTATTTTGAGGGTTTCATAATAGCAATAATAAAGTTAGAAAGATTTTTCAAAGGTAATTATGCATAGGAGAAAAAGATGAAATAAAATTTCGCTATAAAATGCCGTTTTAAAACTTTCAAGTAAAGAGTAAAAGTTTTAAAACGCAATAAAAGCTTAGCAAATCGAACGTATCTAAACAAAAATGAAGGGTCTTGGGTCGAGTTTAGTTTTAGTATTTTATGTAGATGGTAGTGAAGGTTCTGTGATTTAATATAATTTTTTTTACGTATTAGATATTTTTTTTAATTGTAAGTTATGTATTTAAAATTAATTAATCATGCTATATAGGTAATATTTAAATCGGTTAGCATTTACAATTAACACGTGAGAAAATATTTCGGATCGGTTGAATTCTATCCAAAAATTTCATTCTGCGTACCGGTAAATATTATTTTTATATTAATTTCTTATTTTTACTACTTTTATTCGGGTTAATATGCGTATTAATTATTTAAAATTTAAAATTATTTACGTATTAGTTTTTATTTTATTAAAATTTATTCGTTTATGAAAAATAATTATCCAATAGAATTTACCAATTCTCTTAAAGAAGTCAGTTTCACATAAATAATTTGTGGATTTTTTTTTTTTTTTTAATTTCAAAATATTCATTTGATTTTAAATTTAGTTTGACCTAAATTAATTATAAATTTTTTTCTTAATTATCAATTACAATCAGTATAAGATTTACACATAAAAGAAATTTCTAATCAATAGGATGTAAAAATTAATTAGATAATAATGATATTACCATAAAAAAAAAATTGCAATAATTATCAGTACAGATAAATCTTATCGATTAAAATCGAAATTTGCCAAATGATAATTTTTGATAAATTTTAATCATGTTAGGTAATAATAGATAATTAAATCAAAATTTACAAATTAGGGGAAAAATTAGATTACACAAGAATTTTAATTAAATAAATAATTAAATTGAGGAAAGGAAAATCGATACATTTAAAATCATTTTTCATATTTTATTAAAGTTAAAATTAAAAATGATTTCGAATGTGAATTTTAAAAATTTTATTATTTCGTTTAAATTTTTTTGGGTTGTTTGTTTAATCACAACCATTTTGGTTTTTGTTAACCCTAAATGTTACATAAAAATATTTGATAATGGGAAAATTTTATTAGTAAAATAAACATTAATAAAAGAGAAAAAGAAAAACATGTCGAGGAAGTTTTTCATAATTAATTAACTTAGATAAAAAAAAAAAAAATATGAAATATGACATATGGAGTTTTTGTAATTGCGTTTTAAAAAAAAAATAGTTTTTATGTAAATATTTACAGGGGGGGGCCATGATCCCCGTTGAAATGGTAGCATCTTTATTTATATGATCAAAAATTTATTTTACGATAATGTAAAAAATCCTTCCTCAAGATGATTTTAGTTAAACTCTCTCAATCATTGCAAATTTGTCGGTTGCTCTTGACAATCTTGTTGCAAATAAAAAATTTGTCTTTGTTTGCACTAAAAATTATTATTCAGATAATATAATTCGTTGTTATTTCTCACTGAACGTTTTACTTGTCGATTCTCTCTATGAGTACACAAAATAGTTTTTTCGATTGTTAGAAATCCAACCACATACATGATATGTTACTCACAAAATCCAGATTTTATGGTAAAAATTCCCTACTTAATCCCACAATGACATTTTAAATCATTAATTAGTTATAAAAAAAAGTATTTAAATATTGTTTATACCGTAGAATATTCTTAATAAGTTTAAAATTTAAAATTTGAATGAATAAAAATAACAAAAAGTTTGTTTTGTTAAAAGCTTATTCAAATTCTCTCTCTCTCTCTCTCTCTCTCTCTCTATTTTTTTGCGTATTTCTTTATTGCAACAATATCTTCTTTGCATTTATTTTGACCTTGTGCGTTTGTTTTTTTTTTTTTTTTTTCATCTGTTGATGTTGTGAGTGTGTGTGTGTGTGCGTGCGCGTGTGTCCTCGAAAATGGTGAAAAAATCGAATTTTATTTATTAATAAAAAAAATATAAATTATTATTTCCACTCCACGTTGGTGTTAATTAATAATTTGATAAAATTAAGGTAGGTCGGTCAAAGTCTGATAACGTGAGAATTATTAAATCTAACTAAAAAAAGGGAGGTGGGGGGTAAGGGGGGTTCCTCAAAAACTAATTTCTAGTAAATTATTTAAATGAATATAATAATAATAATGGCGGATATTTTTCATTGTGATTTCGTTTGTACGATAAAGTTCTACTACACCTATTGATAAGAATGATAAGGAGCATTTATTTAAACGATAAGTAGATAGGATAAATAACGTAAATTTTGTTTTGTTTTCTTTTTCCCCCCCCCCCTCTGCCCTTCTACCCGACCTTATATTTTTTTAAATTTAGCCGATTGTTCGATACAAATTCACGTGATTGTTATTTCTAATCGATTCCGTTTATTTAACGGAGTTGTGGGGGCCAGGGGTAGGGGTAGGGAGACAAAATTGCTAAAAAAGAATTTGGCATTAATTATTTGATTATTTTTTTTTTTTTTTTTTTTTTTGCAAATTAATGAAAAATTTTTCGAATTGATGATGATGATAATAATGATGGGATTTTATAATTACAAAAATTCGAATAAATATTATTATCGTTTAATGTTTTTTTTTTTTTTTCTGTTTAATGTTTTTTGTCTGTTTTTCTCCCCACAATTAGGTTCTTGCATTTGCCAAAAATATTTTTTGCATGGTTTTATGTGTGTGTGTGTGTGTGTGTGCGTGCGTGTGTGATCTATTTCTTTCTCTTTTCGTTTCTGTAACAAAAAAAAAAAAAAGAAAGAAAAACTTTCGATTTAAAACGCAAAAAGAAAAAAGAAAATTAATTTTTTTGTTTTTCGACCTTCGATTAAGGAAGGACGAACCAATAAATATTTGTAATTATATGTATATATATATAAATAATTCGAATTTGTTTCTGTTTTTTTTTTTTTTTTTGATTTTTTAACGAGTTTCAAATAGAAAAAAAAAAAATTTTGTACGTGTCCCCATCTTTCAATCAATTTTTATTTCGATTTGTATGTTCTAGAAAAAAAAAAAAAAATCGCGAAGTAATCAAAGCGAATGAAAAAAAAAAAAAAAAAAATACAAAATGTCTCTTTAACTAATAGTTTGTTTGTTGGTTAGTTAGTTTGTTGGTTGTTTAGGTTGTTTTGGTTGTTTTCCGTTAATCATGTCGTTTGATAAAATGACGAAAAAGTTTTTTTAATTTTTTTTTTTTTTTTTTTTTTTTTTTTTATGGTAAACACCTGGTATTAAACACAAAATAAAAATAACTAAAATGTTTAGCTTGTAAGTTTTTTTTTAAGATTGTTCTTTAGTTCAAAAAAAAATTTGGATGAATGAATAATAAAAACATTGTTAACATTATTATTATTATTATTGTAAATGTTGTTTAGTATTTAAAAAAAAAATTTTTTAGTGACACGGAATATAATCGAGTTCAGGTAAAATTGAAACGTACAAAGCGACAAACAGAAAAGTGGGGAGACAACAACAACAACAAAAAAATTCAAATCAATTCGGTTTTTTTTAAAAATGTTTTACCCCCCCTCCCCCCCCCGTTTCCCGCGAGGTCTTTACTATTATTATTATTACTTAAATATCGAATCAACCTCAATAAGTAGGTGAAATCGATCAACTTGAGATAAAATCGATCGATCGATCGATCGATCGATCTCGTCATCAAAGTAATGCGTCTCCCGCGGTTTCATTCAAGGTTTTTTTTTTTTTTTACGTGTTGACCACGAATATTAAATGTTGGTTCGCACTTTGACGATAAATAACACGATTATTATTATTATCATTATCATTATCATTATTAAGAAAAATGAGAAAAACGTGTTATTAAAAAAAAAAAAAAAAAATTGTACCTCCGTGCAAAACCATTCGTTATTGTTGCTGACACGTTTTTAAAAGTAAAGCAAATTTTTGCTCGAATTCAAACGAAGAAAATAAATTTTGGTTATGATGATAATAATAATAATAATAGTAATAATAATAATAATAATAATAATAATAATAATAATAATAATAATAATAATAATAATAATAATAATAATAATTTGACGCTCGTTACGACCTCAAACTTTAATTATTCCAAAAAGAGAGAGAGGGGGAGAGAGAGAGAGAGAGAGAGAGAGAGAAAACTTATGTAAAAGTAGAGTTGCGAAGGATATTCGTAATAATTTTGACCTAGGAAGTCAAAAGTGTTAAAACTAACCGAAAGGGGGGGGCGAGAAAGGGAGGAAGGGGGGGGTGAAAAACTAGTTTCCATTTAATAATGTCTTGGATTAATAATGATAATA